CCTCTGTCCCCAATCCATGAAAAACACATGTCATTCTTGTCCCAACATTTCTCATGTGTGGGTTCATTTCTGTTCCCATCTTCCCTTTGATCTTCACCTCCCAGCTCCTTCATCTATTCCCAGGTGCTTGTGCCCCCTCTTTTCCTCGAGTCCCCCACCCTCACTTCCACCCAGGGCAGATGGATCTCTCCGTCATGCCTTGTCTTTACCCTGTAGTTGGGTGTCCATTCCTCCTCATGTTGGACATTCCTACAACTTCTAGATGATCCAGAGATGTGGTGAGAACTTCTGCATCCTAGGAAATGGCAACAACCTATTCCTTCCAGAAGGATTCCTACTAAATCAGTTCCTGGACTTGTTTTCCCACCTCTCCTCATCCCATCGGTCCACCTCCTTGTATGTCCCAGTGTCTAAGCCTGATTGGAACTCCTTTTTTTCTTTAATAGTGGTATCAAGATATAATTCACATGCCATATGATTCATTCATTTGAAGTATGCAAAGGATTGTAGTATATTCACAGCATCTGCATCTATCACTATAGTCAATTTTAGAACATGTTCATTACCCCTACTAATTGGGCTGCTTCTGATATTTGTTTTTGTTTTGTTTTAATTAATAGGTTTTATTTTTTTTTTTTTTTAAAGATTTTATTTATTTATTTGACAGAGAGAGATCACAAGTAGACGGAGAGGCAGGCAGAGAGAGAGAGAGAGGAGGAAGCAGGCTTCCCGCTGAGCAGAGAGCCCGATGTGGGACTCGATCCCAGGACCCTGAGATCATGACCTGAGCCGAAGGCAGCGGCTTAACCCACTGAGCCACCCAGGCGCCCCTAATAGGTTTTATTTATTAGAGTTTTATGTTTACCGAAAGTTTAGCAGAAAGTACAGAGTTCCCATTTTATCACCCTTCCTCACCACATACACACACAGTTTCCTCTATTATTAATATCCTGCATTCTGTGGTACATTTGTTACAATGGGTGCAGCTGTATTCACACATTACCAGTAGAGATCAGTTTACATTAGGTTCACTCTTGGTGTTGGACATTCTGCGGGTTTGGGTAAATGTATAATGCCACATGTCCATCTTTATAGTATCAAGCAAAGTAGTTCTACTGCCCTAAATATTCTCTGTGCTCCACCTGTTTTTCCCTCTCTCCACCCTAGCTCCTGGAAACCACTGGTTATTTTACTCTTTATAGTTTTACCTTTTCCAGAATGTCCTGTAGTTGGAATCACGCAGTAAGTGGCATTTCTTTTTTTTTTTTTTTTAAAGATTTTATTTATTTGTTTGACACAGAGAGAGAGATCACAAGTAGGCAGAGCAGCAGGCAGAGAGAGAGGAGGAAGCGGGCTCCCCGCTGAGCAGAGAGCCCGATGTGGGGCTCAATCCCAGGACCCTGAGACCATGACCTGAGCCGAAGGCAGAGGCTTAACCCACTGAGCCACCCAGGCGCCCCAGTAAGTGGCCTTTCTTAACTGGCTGCTTTCAGTTAGCTGTAAACATCACGTGTGTCCTTCACACCACTTTGGACCTTCACAGTATCATCGAAACGTTCCCCTAGCCAGAGGTGTTGGGTTTATCTTGTGTTTTCCTGCTCTTTCTTACCTTGTAACTCTCACCTACAGCCTCTGTTACTTTTCCCTCTGAAGTGTCACCTGCTTTTACTTGTCCTTGGTCCTTCAAATGATGCCATTCTGAATTCAGTATGTGGACAGCATCTTTCTTCTCCTCAGTATGTGGACAGCATCTTTCTTCTCATCTATCATAGATACTTCTTTCTAGCTGACCCACAGTCTGTTTTCCTCATTTTGCAATCTTGATAGAGACACTGTGTAAAATGTCTGGCCTCCTTTACCCAGTTTCCAATGACCAGGCACAACTCAGTCACATCTTAACCACCCTGAGACTTCTTTCCTTCTTCCGGTCTCAAAAACCCAGGCACCCCAGCTAAGGTTTTATTCCTGGCTTACTGTCAAGGAAAATGAGCTTTAGAAGTTGCTAGTTAGTTAGGGGCGCCTGGGTGGCTCAGTGGGTTAAGCCTCTGCCTTCGGCTCAGGTCATGGTCTCAGCGTTCTGGGATCAAGCCCCGCATCGGGCTTTCTGCTCAGTGGAGAGCCTGCTTCCTCCTTTCTCTCTGCCTGCCTCTCTGCCTGATCTCTTTCTCTCTCTCTGTCAAATAAATAAATAAATAAATAAATACATACATACATACATACATACATACATACATACATACATAAAAAAAAAAAAAAATTGCTAGTTAGGGGTGCCTGGATGGCTCAGTTGGTTAAGCGTCTGTCTTCAGCTCAGGTCATGATCCCAGGGTCCTGGGATCGAACCCTGTGTGGGCTCCCTGCTCAGCGGGAAGGCTGCTTCTCCCTCTCCCACTCCCCCTGCTTATGTTCCCTCTCTTGTTGTGTCTCTTCCTGTCAAATGAATAAATAAAATTTAAAAAAAAAAAAAAAAGAAGAAGAAGAAGAAGAAGTTGCTAGTTAGTGAAACTCAGTTGCAGCCCAGCCTAGCCAACTACTGCTTCAAGGACTACAGTGCTTTTCTGGGAAGTCTGTGGCATTGATTACAAAGTGGGTAGAGAGTTTTTCTTCTGTGGTTAGCCTGAAGAAATAGTTGAAATGGTGCGTTAAGAATATTAAGTCTGGGGGCGCCTGGGTGGCTCAGTGGGTTAAAGCCTCTGCCTTCGGCTCAGGTCATGGTCCCAGGGTCCTGGGATCGAGCCCCGCATCGGGTTCTCTGCACGGCAGGAAGCCTGCTTCCCTTCCTCTCTCTCTGCCTGCCTCTCTGCCTACTTGTGATCTCTCTGTCAAATAAATAAATAAAATCTTAAAAAAAAAAAATCACACACAAAAAAAAAAGAATATTAAGTCTGTGTTGGTGTTTGGGATCATTTCAAGATGCAGAATCAGAAAATAGATAGACTGGGGGCCTGGGTGTTTCAGACATTAAGCGTCTGCCTTCAGCTCAAGTCATGATCCCAGGGTCCTGGGATTGAGCCCCACATCAGGCTCCATGCTTTGTGGGAAACCAGGTTTTCCCTCTCCTGCCTCCCCTGCTTGTGTTCCCTCTCTCGCTGTGTCTCTCTCTCTGTCAAATAAATAAATCAAATTTTCTTAAAAAGCGGGGAGGGGGGTGCACCTGGGTGGCTCAGTGAGTTGAGCCTCTGCCTTCGGCTCAGGTAATGATCTCAGGGTCCTGGGATTGAGCCCCACATCAGGCTCTCTGCTCACCAGGGATCCTGCTTCCCTTTCTCTCTGCCTGCCTCTCTGCCTACTTGTGATCTCCCTCTCTGTCTATCAAATAAAGAGATAAAATCTTTTTTTTTTTTAAGATTTTATTTATTTATTTGACAGGCAGAGATCCCAAGTAGGCAGAGAGGCAGGCAGAGAGAGAGAGAGGGAAGCAGGCTCCCCACTGAGGAGAGAGCCCGATGCGGGGCTCGATCCCAGGGCCCTGAGATCATGACCTGAGCTGAAGGCAGAGGCTTAACCCACTGAGCCACCCAGGCGCCCCTAAAGAGATAAAATCTTTAAAAAAAGAAGAGATAGACTAAGATTCTGGGTCAATAATCTAGGTTGAGGTACCAGTTAGTCTCTTTATTAATTTCCTGCGGCTGCTGTAACAGATTACCAGGTGAGGGGCTTAAAACAACACAAATTGATTCTCCCATGATTCTGGAGGCCAGAAACCTGAAATCAATACCATTGGTCTGAAACCAAGGTGTAGAGTCATGCACCCTTGGAAGGGTCCAGGAAGAAATCTCTTCCTTGTCTCACTCACCAGCTTCTGGTGGCTGCAGCATTCCTTGGTTTGTGCCCATATCACTTTAGTCTTTAAGGCCAGCATCTCTAAATCTCTTTGTTCCATGTTCATTTCACTTCTGTGTGTATCATATCTCTACTTCCCCATTATAGGACACTTCTGGTCACAGTTAGGGCCTACACAGATACTTTCCCTAGCTCAAGTTCCTTAATTTACGCAAAGACCCTTTTTCCAAGTCAGGTACCGTATTCACTGGCTTCACAGGCAATTATATTGTAGGTATCTTCTGTGGCTATGAAGGCTATATACCCTTAGGCCCAATTCTTTCTGGATCTCTCCTTTAATCTTTACCCTCCCCTGCTTGTTCTTATTCCTCTTCTCCCTCTGCAGACTAGTCTTCCTGGGTTACCTCTTCATTATCTTTGTTTGTTTTTTATACGTTATCACCACTACCCTGTTTGCTGTTCCATCCCTTTTTTTTTAACATCCTGCATGAACTTACAGTCCATGGATTAGAAACAAACCCAGAGAACCTCTCATACTTGGTGGTCTCCTCCATCCCATCCTCCCCCTCTAATGCATCTCCAGTAATTCAGGTATATTGGATTTCTTTCAGATTGGAAGAATATATTTGAAAAGAAAGAGTCAGCTTCCAAAGAAGATTTTGCTGTGGAAGAACCATTCCACCACATAGAAATGAAACACTGCCTACAGGAGGAGGGCCCCTGGTTGGTGTCATTAGGAGAAAGGCAGGATTGGAAGAACCAGCTAAGGGAGCACCAGGAGGACTCTTGGAATCAAATGGTACTTACAACAGAGACACTGTTTGCTCAAGGGGACCATTGTGAGCATGACCTTGGGGGAAGTTACCTGAGTGTAAGCCTTCTACCTCCAACATTACTCACAAGAACACATTTCCATACCCTTGACTCACAGGTTAAAAAGTTGAAACAGAATTCAGTTTTCATGAATCATGAGAAAGGCCAGGCTGATCGGAAGCCTTATGAAAATCACCAAAATGCTGGAGCCTTCTGTCAGAGCATTTATTTGAATAAACTTGGAAATGTTGAAATGAGAAATAAAAAATTTTGTGAATTTACTGTCACTAGTGACTCTTTGAGCTACGGTACCTCCCTGCAATTTCATAATAGACTTTTCTCAGCAGAGAACAAAAATAACTATCCAGACTATGGAAACATTATCAATCATAGCAAGACTCGGAATGAACACAAGCCGATGCATCTTAGAGAATGTCAGTATGAGTGTGATGACTGCCTCATACGAACCGAAATAAGTGATTGTAGAGAAGCACCATTTAGGTGTGGGGAGGAACATAATGCCTTCCACGCAGCCTCATCTTTTACTGACGGTGACATCATTCAGACTGGAAAGAGGCCACATGCATGTAGTCAGTGTGGAAAATCTTTCAGCTGTTGTTCTAAGCTTGTTGTACACCAGAGAACACACACTGGAGAAAAGCCCTATGAGTGTACTCAGTGTGGCAAGTCTTTCAGCCAGAGCTATGACCTTGTCGTACATCAGAGAACACACACTGGAGAAAAGCCCTATGAATGTAACCAGTGTGGGGAATCCTTCACCCAGAGTTCCAAACTTATTAGGCATCAGCGAACTCACACTGGAGAAAAACCATATAAATGTCACGAATGTGGAAAATCTTTCAGGTGGAACTCTAACCTTATTGTATATCAAAGAATTCATACTGGAGAGAAGCCTTATGAGTGTACTCATTGTGGAAAGTCCTTCAGTCAAAGCTCGGACTTTGTTGCACATAAAAGAACTCACACTGGAGAGAAACCCTATGAATGTAACCAGTGTGGAAAGTCCTTCATTCGAAGCACTCAACTTATTAGGCATCTGCGAATTCACACTGGAGAGAAGCCATATAAATGCAATCAGTGTGATAAAGCTTTCAGTGGGAGCTCTCACCTTATTGAGCATCAGAGAACTCATACTGGAGAAAAACCTTTTGAATGTAATCAGTGTGGGAAAGCCTTTACTGGGACCTCTCACCTTCTTTCCCATCAGAGAATTCATTCTGGAGAGAAGCCATATGAATGTAATAACTGTGGGAAATCTTTTCGGCAGCGATCACAGCTTGTTGTGCATCAGCGCACCCATACTGGAGAGAAACCTTACAAGTGCAGTCATTGTGAAAGAGCTTTCAGCCAGAGGTCTCCCCTCATTGTGCATCAAAGAACACACATTGGAGACAAGCCCTATCGGTGTAACGTGTGTGTGAAAGCCTTCAGTCAGAGGTCACGCCTTATTGAACATGAGAGAACACATACTGAAGAAAAACCCTATGAATGTATTGACTGTGGGAAAGCCTTTAATGATCGGTCAACACTTATGAAACATGAGAGAACACACACTGGCGAGAAACCTTATGCATGTAATCATTGTGAAAAGGCCTTTAGTCAGCGATGTCAACTTACTAGGCATCGGAGAATTCATACTGGAGAAAAACCCTATGAATGTAATGAATGTGGGAAGGTTTTCAGTTATAATACATCCCTTATTCAACATGAAAAAACTCATGGGAGAGAAGCTGAATAATCAAGATGGAGACACTCACTGCCAAATCTTTATTAGACATTAAGTAACAAAGGTGTGACACTCAGTGTGGTCTAATGACCATGGATTTCCTTGGAGTGTTCATTGAAACCGCACATTTCCAAGCTTACCTTGATCTACTAAATCAGAATCTCTGGTGGTAAAACCCAGGAGCCTGCAATTCCTAAAAGCAGCACAAGTAATTTGTATGTACACTAACATGCGTTTACGTCTGCATTTAGATGAGAAGCTGTGAACATAACACTGATTTGAAACTTTTGTCAGAGCTCTTAGCAGGAGTTAGGGAATTCAGTATGTAGCTATACCCATCAAATAATCTTTTCAGTGTAAGCAACCACCCAAACTTAATCAGACATTGTCCCTGTGACGCACTCCTAGAGACAATGGACTGGAAGATATTCTCTTTTTTCTTTTATTTTTTGGACTGGAAGATATTCTTAATGTGAAGCCCCAAACAATCTAAGAAGAAATCTTTGCATGACGACGTTGGCATTGAGTAATGAAATATGAAGCTGGCCAATGTAAACCAGCAGTTAACAAACTGGAGGACTGAGGTTGGGAAGTCTTCTGAAATGGTTTTTATTGGAATTAAAAGTAGACTCTATATCAAGAACTCCATTGTGCTCTAATTTAACTTTGTTGTTCAGGTTGACTATAATCAGAGCTCACTGTATAGCAATATAGAAAATATTTATCAGGTGAAGTGAAAACAGGACCCAAAGTAGTATATACACAAAATATTACAACCACATGAAAACATGCACACGGATGGTTAAGAAGGTCAGCTCAGCAGCACGTTCAAAACAAAGGCTGAAGTGTGAATCAACAATGGTGAAGAAAGTGGGAGAGGCCGTAACTGCAAATTTGAGCAAGGTGACAGCAGGTGTGAGAGCAACACCTGGAGATGCAGAGTGGAAAGGCTGAAGCCAGGAACATGTGAGGAGAGGGCTGCAGCAGTAGAGGCCACAGCCCCCAAGCAGAGCTGTACACCAAGAGGTGGGGGAGAAAAACAGGGTTATGTGAAGATCTGTGAAACTCCACATTTTCTCTCCTTTCTCCCCTACTTTTCTTGTCTTACAGTGACTGTCCGGCTGTGGGTAAGCAGAAAATAAAGTAGGAAGGAAGTTACATACTAAAAATGGTCTGGGGAACTAGGAAATTTGGTGGATTATGTTTCAAAACAAGGGCTGCATTGTTTGGGCATCATGAGAACCTTCACCCAAACAGCTGGTTCTTGCACTTTTCACCCTCTAGCAAAGCATGCCATTAAACTGGTCTCACCCACCTCTTTGAACTTCCCATCTTCGATAGCCTCTTCAATATGGATGGGAACCAAGGTGTGAAAGATGAAGAAAGCCTTCAACTTGAAAGGAAAAATGTATGATAAAACAGAAGCCTCAAAGAGAACAGATATTTGGGGAACCAAGTAGTTAAAGTTTTATTCTAAGAGTGAGTCAAAAAGTAATTGCAAGTGAAAAAATAAATCCAAGATGCTTTTTTTTTTTTTTTTAAAGATTGGGTTTTTTTAGAGAGAATAAGTGGGGGAGGGGCAGAGAGAGAGGACAGAAAATTTCAAGCAGACTCCATGTTGAACGCAGAGCCCAATGCCAGGCTGGATCTCATGACCCTGAGATCACAACTTGAGCCAAAAACACGAGTCAGACGCTTAACTGAGCTACCCAGGCACCCCAAAAGCCATGTATTTGATCCTGATGATACTACTACTTAGAAGAGGCAGAGCACTCATGAAATTGGAATAAAAGAGGGGGGATATACAATCAGATTGTTCTGATTGGCCCTTCATAACAGTATCTGCATAGATACAATATATACAGTAGGTACTGAGTTTTTGTTTTTTGTTCTTGGCTTTTCCTAAGGAAGAAAGCCAGAACTGTGACATGAGGATTTCGTAATGGCAAGAGCATGAGATTCCCAGCACTTTCACCAACAGTAATGGTATAGTCTCTAGCTGTTGTAAAGTAGAAGAAGAAAGAGATAGTGGGGAAAAGAGTATCCCTGTATCCTCATCTTAGGAAGCGACCTCTTAAATATAATATGATACATAGGTTATTTTAGGAAACCAAAATTGGAGCATAGAATGGTAATATGACAGAAATTAGAAGGAAATAGAGGAGCAAGAGTTGAGCCAAATCTACATTCCACATCAGAGCAGGAAGTCAGTAATTCTACAGACCATAGAAGATCAGAATTACAGACATGGCTTCAGGAAGAACCGGAATAGAAATGGCTAAGTCGTTGATGAGATGTGTGACTGTTGCATAGGTTGGGGAAGGAGATCACTGGTTTTCATTTTATACCTTCGGTAGTAACTCTTTCCCTGGTAGTTCACTACTTATTTGGGTAACAAATTATTTCCAGTGTGTACCTATAAGTGAGCAAAACAACAGTACATGAGGACATCTGTGGTTGATTTGTGGGATTATATACAATTTTCTTTCTTTTAATTCAGTGTTGCTATAATAGTAGATTGACAATGTAAAAAGTAAGACCAAAAAAAAAAAAGGCGTCAGACTTTTTTCTATCTGGCCAATTAGACTTTATTCAGAAGGGTAGGAAGTCTCCTTGACTTTATAGAAATCCCTGATATTAAAGATGGGTGCTTAGTCTTTTAAGACTTGATTTTCCGGGGGCGCCTGGGTGGCTCAGTGGGTTAAGCCGCTGCCTTCGGCTCAGGTCATGATCTCAGAGTCCTGGGATTGAGCCCCGCATCGGGCTCTCTGCTCAGCAGGGAGCCTGCTTCCTCCTCTCTCTCTGCCTGCCTCTCTGCCTGCTTGTGATCTCTCTGTCAAATAAATAAATAAAATCTTAAAAAAAAAAAAAAAAAGACTTGATTTTCCAGAGGCCTTACTACCAGGAAGTCAGAAGTCCCTGAGATGGGACCTGGAGAGGTGCTGGTATCCTGGAATGGAATGGGGCAAGACAGTTATGTGAATTTGCATAGCCAAGTACTGAATGTACTTCCCCCCCCCCCAAGATCATTCTGGCAATTACCTGGTATCTGTCATAAAACCCTTTAAGTAATATAGCTCTCGTGGTTCATGAGACCCTGAGGCTGAGGTGAAACACGTCTTGTCTAGGGCAGCCCACACGTAACAGGTGGGGACCTTGCTTCCTAGTTGGATAGTTGCTTGTGTTGCCTGCACCAGTGTTAACAATATAGCTCTCAAGAGACACCAGAGCCTGGGAGAAAGAACCTGCCCGACAGATCCCACAAAGTGCGTGTTTTCTCTTTGTTGGTTTTGTTTAAATTTGTGACTTTTTTTTTGTAAACCCTAAATGATACCTCATCTATTACATGTGACCCAGAACCTCCTTTTAATAAGAAACAGAAATCCATCCTCCCTCCCCCTTTTCAGAATACAGATAACAATATAATCCGCATAATTTTGAACAAATAGCAGTGGAACTGTTGGGGGCCCACAAGGCCACCCCCACATCCAGAGATTTCTAGATGAATTCTTGAGACTTAGCATATTGTACTCACAGCTAAGATTTATTAAAGTGATGTAGCAAGGATGGGAAAGCCAGGTGATGTCTGGGGGAATCTACATGTTGGCTTCCAATGCTGTCCCTGCCCTGAGAGGGTCATACAAAGCTCACTGAGGATTAAGCAAGTAGGTATTTCTGTCCAGCATGTACCAAATTCCAGACTCCCAGAGGAAAGCAGGTGCTCAGTGCAAATCACATTGTTTGCATAGTCTAGGCACAGTGAGATGTCCTTATCAGTTGGGTTACAGACCACACTCTAAATGCCAAGTTGCCAGATGCCAGCCAGAGGCCAGCCTTGCAAACAGTACCTTGGAACAGCTGAAGCCTCAGACCTGCTGTGTTAACCCTTATTGTGTAAGCTTTCATGCCTCGTCAAGCATGAATATATTTAGCAGTTTTAACAGTACCTGTTCCATTAAACTGTTTGGACGGTGGCTCTGGCTGCCCAAGTGGGTGAAGCACATGGTTCATATAATTCCTTCTTGAGACTGGTTTTCAGAATCACATCTTTGCGCCTCCAAACTGAGGTTCCTTGCCACGATTCCCTTTTGTAGATGTGAATCCCACTTGGACTGCTCCAGGCTTAGCGTAAATGCCAGAGGACCCTGATAAGATAACAAAAAATTATGCTCTTTCTTTTTTTCTCTTAAAAATACCCTAAACATAAAATGTGAATTTGTGTGAACACTCCTTTAAAAAAAAAAAAAAAAAAAAAGCTCTATGTCCAACATGGGGTTTGAACTCATAACTCGAGATCAAGAGTCAACTGAGCCAGCAAGGTGCTCCGGTGTATTAAACATTCTTAGTAATGTTCAGGTCAAGTTTACTAGCTGGAACTTTTATTTATTATGCAGACATGTTGCATCATGGTAGTTAATGAAGACAGCATGAGCAGAATAGTATTGACCTAAGATGACTCTGAAATCCACTAACTAATTGTACTTTTGTCTTTCTGGGGGCTGTGGAAGCTTCTGGTTTTCTTTCAATATCACCGGCTGTTAGTATCTTAGCTCTTAAGTGTATGGATACTAAGGCTGTATGAATTTTGCCAACTGGCTGTCAAACGATGTGCTCTGTGTATGTAACATTACCAATAATTATTTATACTGTTCATATTCATTAGTGTAAGAAATGTGACGGAGGAGTTCCTAGATATTTAGGTCCTTGTTCCACCCCCTTTTTTTTTTTAAGATTTTATTTATTTGTCAGTGCACAAGCAGGGGGAGCTGCAGGCAGAACGGGCAGAGGGAGAAGCAGGGTCCCTGCTGAGCAAGGAGCTCAATGTGGGATTCAATTCTAGGGCCCTGGGATCATGACCTGAGCCAAAGGCAGATGACTAACCAACAGAGCCACCCACGTGTCCCCTTGTTCCACTTTCAGGTTGTATATTCTGTTTTCATAATCTGTCCTCTTGGCCCAGTACTCCTGCCTGCCCTCCATGTAAGTATCAGCGCTGTTTCCTCCTCACCACCCCAGCTCACTATGCTCCTTTTTAGTCTTCAAATTCTCAGTGTGGAAATCTCAGGAAACAAACTGCCGTGGAGATCATCATCATCTCAGCACCTGCATTTGTCACCTGCTCCCCTACCACTGAAGTGGGTGGTCGCTAATCTCACAGAGAGCAACTCAGCCCCATACAATGATTGTTGCTACAGGGGGTAGAGAGAGTCAAGACAAGGAGACTTGGGTAACCAGCAACACCCACTATGGTTATGACGAGCTGGAAACACCCCCTACCCCACCCACCCAGCTGCCAACCCCAGGGCACAGGGAGGCTGTTACTTCAACAGAACCTAGCCCATCCTGATACCACCTGACATTAAAAAATAGGTAGTTTAAAAAAAAATAGGTAGTTTAAAAAAGTACTTTAAAAACAAAGTACCACCCACCCCACCTCTCACACACACAAAAATATCAGCTCATGAGGGTAGAGCTTTTATTTTCTTTGTTGCCAAACAGTTCCTGGCTGTAACAGCCAATCTTTGTTCAGTGAAGAAATGTTGGAGAATAGTTTTATTTTATATTATTTTATTTTTACTTGAGCACTGGAGGTACAATGGAGGCAATAGAGAAGGGCAGATCTGGGGAGAAATTAGACAAGACTAAAGACTCAGTCATATTCAGTGAGTTTTCCTTATTGAATGTGCTGTGTGACCTGGAGGGGGGGATTTACGCCCACCTCTCTGTCCCTCAGTCCCCTCCCCTCAGATGAAGGATGTTCTCCAGGTCCCATCTCCTACTGCACAGGCTGGGACCAAGCTCCTGATTACCAGAGAAGAGGTTGACACATGAGATGTTAATTTTACTCTCTCAGGTGATGTGGATCAAGCAGTCATCATCCTCTGAAGAGGTTTTCAGGGACACAGAGTGCGTTACTGGTCAAGTCTAGGCTGGAACTAGGATCTCTGGAGGGGAAAACGAAGCATCACTTCAAAGTGTAGAGCCATGCCCAACTGTGTTCTCAGACACGGGATGGGGCATGGAACATGTGGAAAGAAGCCTTTCAGTTAGAGAAGAGGTAATAGCTTGATGGTGACTTCTGTGTGTCCTGCACACATAGAAACCCTTTCCACTTTGCTGCACTCAGAGAGTGGCAAGGGATCACCCTTTGCCTACTGCACATTGAGGCCACACATCTAGCCATCCTAGGTAGAACACAGCTTGTGCATCAGTCCAAATTTGAGGATTCTACACCTGGCTGCTTCAAAACAGGACCTTTTCCCTTGTAGGTCCGGGGATTCCAGTCACCCTGTATCGTGGCCTTGGAAATGCTCTGCACCAATGGGGTTGCCTTCCCTAGCAATCTTCCTGGTGTTTGGCCACAGCGGTTCTAAGCTCCCTAGGAAGATGCTCAAAGAAACCCAGTTGTGTAAAAGAGTGAAAAAATATTTACACATAATTTACTTGTGAATGCATAATACAGCTACAAAAGGACCTCCAAGAAACTAGAAATAGTAGTTGCTCATGAGGAGGAAGGTTGGTGGTGGAGTCAAGGAACAGAGGAAGATCTCATTAAATGCCCAATTGTACCTTCTGAATTTCAAGCCATGAGAATATATTACTTGTTAAAAAACATGTTTTTTACATTTTTAAAAAGATTTTATTTATTTGACACAGAGAGGTCAGTAGTAGGCAGAGAGGCAGGCAGAGAGAGAGGGGGAAGCAGGCCCCCCGCTGAGCAGAGAGCCCGATGTGGGGCTCAATCCCAGGACCCTGAGATCATGCCCGGAGCCGAAGGCAGAGGCTTAACCCACTGAGCCACACAGACACCCTTATTTTTTACATTTTTAAAAATCAATGAGGGCCTGAACTAAAGCCCTTGTGGTGGAGATAGAAAGGAAGGAGCAGGACAGATTTTTAGAAGAGAAAAATCCATAAGCCAGAGATTGACATTTCTTTTTTTTTTTTTTTTAAGATTTTATTTATTTATTTGACAGAGATCACAAGTAGACAGAGAGGCAGGCAGAGATAGAGCAAGGGAAGCAGGCTCCCTGCTGAGCAGAGAGCCAGATGCCAGGCTTGATCCCAGGACCCTGGGATCATGACCTGAGCCGAAGGCAGAGGCTTTAACCCACTCAGCCACCCAGGCACCCCAGAGATTCACTTTTCTAATACTATGTACATCCTAAACATAGTGGTTTAAAACAATGATTTTGGGGCACTTGGGTGGCTCAGTCTTAACATGTCTGCCTTCGGCTCAGGTCATGAGGCCAGGGTCCTGCAATTGAGCCCCGCTTTGGGCTCCCTGCTCAGCGGGGAGCCTGCTTCTCTCTCTCTCCCTCTGCTGCTCCCCCTGCTCGTGCTCTCTTGCTCTAAAATTAAATAAATAAATAAATAAATAAATAAATAAATAAATATAACAAACAATGATTTCTTTCTCACCGTTCTATTATGGATCAACCGACTTCTTCTCACTTACTGGCCTCTTGTGCAGTGTCAGGTAGATACAGTGGGAGCTGGACTCACGTGAAGGCTGAGAATGGAGGCGCACTGGCGAACTAGCAGTTGCTGCCGGCTGCCAGACATGAGCTCAGCTGGGGTTCTTGACCGGAACTTTCACATTAGGCCCCTTCACATGGCTTAGGCTCTTCTCAGCACAGTAGCTGGGTTCTAAGGTGGGAAGTCCCAAGAAGAAGCCCTCCAGGAGAACTAGGCATAATCCACAAAAACTTCTTATGATTTGGCCTCAGAAGTCACACATCATCACTTCTGCTACATTATAGAGCCTGGTCCGTCAGATAAGCCCAGAGACAGGGGAAGGGGAAATAAATTCCACCTCCAGGTGGAAAGAGACAAAGACTTTGGGGCCATCTTTAATCCACCATGGAGTCTCAGTGACTCGAGGAGTAAGAGAGAGAAAGGAATCTTTCTCAAAGAATCTTCATCTAGTATCAGATTATGATACAGACAACCGAGGTAGGCTGGGGTGACATGGAGGAGTAAGGCTGGAGCGCAGGAAGAGTAGGTGGCCTTTGGACAGGTTAGAGTGAGGTGCCCAAGGACATCAAGCTGGAGCTGCCCAGTTCAAAATGTTAGCGAAGGTAAGGAAAAAACATCATATGTACCTGTATTTGTTTAAAGTTTACGAGGGAACTATGAAAGTGTGTTCTTTGAAGATCTAGAGTCTCACATTTTCTGTGATCTCTGCCTGGGACACTTTCCACCTAAATATCCCCATGGCTCCTGCCCTGATCTCCTTTAGGCCTCCTCCCACTTGTGGATTTTCCCTCTATAGGGAATGGATTTTTCAAGCACATGGGGGAATGCTATGAGAATGCTCTAAAGGGGTGTTATTTTGATTTTTATTCAAAGAGTTTATTTATTTGTCAGAGAAAGAGAGAGGGAACGTACAAGCAGGGTGAGTCGCAGGCAGAGGGGGAAGCAGGCGCCCCACTGAGTCCTGGGACTCAATCCCAGGACCTTGGGATCATGACCTGAGCTGAAGGCAGCTGACAAAACAACCCAGGCACCCCGAGAACTCTTCGTATCTTAAAAATCACTGAGGACTGCAAGCAGTTTTGTTTATGGAGGTTCTATCTATCAATATTTGTCATATTAAGAATTAAAACCAAAAGATTATACTTTAATTCTTAAAAATCCATTTAAAAAATAAAAATAAATTAAAAAAATAAATCCATTATATGTTAACACATGTGATAGGCAGAATTGTGTCCCCTGGAAATTAATATATTTAATCCTAATCCCATACCTCAGACTGTGACCTTATTTTGACAGGTCTCTACAGAAGTAATTAAGTCAGACTGAGGTCACTATGGTGAACCCAGCTCCAAAATGACTGGTTTCTTTATAAAAAGAGGAAAATTGGAAACAGACATGCACACAGGGAGACATCCACGTGAAGATGAAAGGCAGCATCTACAGGCCAAGGGATACCAAAGACTGCCAGGAAACCCCAGAAGCTGAGAAAAGAGGAACAGAGCAGTCTCTCTCTCAGGCCCTCTGAAAAACCAAACCATATAAAAATCTTGATCTTGGACTTCTAGCCTCCATAACTGAGACAAAAAGTTTTTGTTCTTTAAGTCACCCTGCTTGTGGTACTTTAAAAAAATTTTTTTAAAGATTTTATTTATTTAACAGAGACAGTCAAAGAGGGAATACAAGCAGGGGGAGTGGGAGAGGGAGAAGCAGGCTTCCTGCTGAGCAAGGAGCCCAACAAGGCTAGATCCCAGCACATGACCTGAGCAGAAGGTGGGCACTTAAAGACTGAGTCAGCCACGCACCCCTGTGGTGCTTTGTTATAGCAGCCCAAACAAATGACTACATTTTGTTTCATTTAAACAAAAAACCACAAAATCCTACTTTATGGAAAATAACTACATTTTCCAAAACAAATAAATATTAGTGAAAAGAGTAGCATTGCATTATATTTTGCAAATCCCTTTAATGTCTGGCTTGATGGAAAGCAGCTGGTTTCCAAAGCTGCCTGTGCCCTTGAGAATGGCAGAACTCAGTCCAAACTGCTACTGTACATTTGTGAGAGAAAGGAAATGGGAGGGAAAAGCTATTATTGTGCACTTAGTTTTTTTTTTTTTATTAAAGATTTTATTTATTCATTTGACACAGAGAGAGAAAGATCACAAGTAGGCAGAGAGGCAGGCAGAGAGAGAAGCAGAAGCAGGCTCCCTGCTGAGCAGAGAGCCCGATGTGGGGCTCGATCCCAGGACCTGGAGATCATGACCTGGGCTGAAGGCAGAGGCTTAACCCACTGAGCCACCCAGGTGCCCATATGCACTTAGTTTTGAACTCACCAACTCAGAGGAAGGGTCTCAGGAAACTCCAGGTGTCCCTGGCCCACACTTTGAGAACGACTGCAATACACAAAACCCCTATAATATAATCAAGGAGAAAACAAAACTACAAGTAGTAGAAAATTCAAAATTAAAACGACAGGGAAACATCATGCATTGAAGATTCAGCACCATGAGAACCAGGAGGAAAGTTGAGTCCACACAAATACATGGCGCTGCTCCCAATAAGATAATAGACCCAAAGGCCCCCACCTTTCCCATCCTTTGGGGGTCTGGGGCTAATGATGGGCCCATAATCAAAGGAGCGAGACTGATACAAAGCAAAGGTCAAGCAAAGCTTTATTTTGCGCCAAGCATCGATAATCAAACTGACCGATGGGGGCTGCCTCTTACGGAGAGAGCGACCCCTTCCAGCCTTACAGACGAACTTTAAAAGGGCAAAGGCCATGTGGTTGAGCCTGGCCCCACACAGGTGGCCAATGAGATTGTAACACACAGAGAAAGCTGCACAGTCATGCTAGGTCACACATGGGGGGCTAATTGAATTACAATTTACCCTATAGTAGATATTTGAACTAGCCTATCACCTTGGTCAGAATTGGCCCCCAAAAGGCGCCCAAAAGGTGGGGCCCACACTCCTTGGTAGCTAGGGAGACAGTATGGGCGCTCCACTAATTGAATGTCTCCACTTGGCCTGACCGCCCTTGTATTTGGGCTCTGTTACCTGGGACTGGTTTCCCAGACTTGCTT